TCTTATGGTGTCTGGAAGAGACGATTTCCAGTATTGAGTTTAGGAATAAATGTAAGAAACTTGGATACAGTACAAGCCATTATAGTGGCCACATCAGTATTGCACAACATTGCTCGTCAGTTTGGAGATGATGAGCCTAGAGTCCCTGAAGAACAAGAAAATTTAATTGCACTAACATTATTTGATCAACCTCATGATATTAACGACCAAGGAAGAAATCAATCAATACATAGAAACCGCTTTTTGAATTATTTTAATACTTTATTGTGACCAGATTGAACAAAATAAAAATAAAATTGTATATAAAACCTCAGTGAAAAGCAATGCTAGTTTCCTCCTTATATATTTATCTACTTGTACATTTTAAATTAGAAATAAAGGAAATTATTATAAATATAAAAAAAAAAATTATATATTATTTAGATATTTTGGTTAGTTTATTTTGCTTCATTTGATAAATAATACAAATTCCTTAGTGGAAGAAAAATAACAAAATTATAAATGTAGGTACTGGATATTTAGCGAGTTATAAAAATAAAATAGAATTTAACAACTAACAACTACTGAATAATAATATGTGCGAAACAATCAAAAAGTCCACTACAAATCACTGAATTTTAATTTTATACTTGATTTTTGCAATGCAATTAGTTCCATTTCTGATGCATGTTTTTCAACTTGAAATGTTATCCTATCTTTTACTTCTTGTAATAATTCCTTTTCTCGATTTGATTTCAGCCTCCATACTTCTCTTTTAAATTCTGCTTCTTCACTTTGCGAGTTTCATTCCTGTTCAGTTAGTGAAGCTTTTTCTTGAGCCCATTTTGACAAATCTTGAAACAGCCTCTTTCTCTTTGTCGGGCCTAAGATCATGAATAATTCATACAGTTGATTTGAACAATGAGATAAATTTAAAATTACATGAACATATTTTTCAATAATTACCTGATTCAGAAAAATCAACGTCGTCTTTGTGAGATGTTCATGCAGAAGATAATGGAGTGGATTTTGGCTGCCTTAGCATTCCAAGGGTATATTTTGCCCAAAACGTTTCTGACAAAAGTAGTGAATTAAAAATGTAGTAAGCTAGTTGTATACAAATGTATAGTAAAAATATAAACAAAATATAAAATAAATCTTTACCTGGTACAGTTAACACATTTTGAGTAATGTTCTCTGAAGTTGGCTTTTGGAATGTGCTGTCTAGTAACAAATCATCACCATACCTCACTACTTCTACTTGATATTCATCATCTACTCCATCTATTTCATTTTGATTAGTGTTTGAAATTAAAATGAATATCATAAAATACATTGATATATATAAATCTATTAATTATAATAATAAATTAGTTTTATTCTTTACGGTATATTAAACAATATATCTAAACAAAAATTAATTTTTCATTATAATAAATTTCTTTTAAATATGTGATACAGCCTACAAATTAAATTATTATACACCTAACCACTCATCCACTCATTAAAAAATAAATATATATGAATTTTTTTAATGAAACATTATATTTCTATAGGTAGTTTTAAAATTATTCCGCATTGTCTTCATTTACATTTTGACAATTTACACGTCATAGAGTAACGTGGGGTATAATGGCGCATGAGGAAAAATGAACTATTGTGTTTAAGGGGATTGGAAGCGGCGATTTTCTGTCTTTGTCTAACATACGTGCAACATAGGATTATAGACGTGTTCTATTTCCAACGTACCGATTAATCTAGTGAAGCGATAAGAACTCTGTAAACAGATTTGAATTTGTCGTCAAGTCTACTTGAGATTGACTTCCCCACATGTTTGATATTATCCCCCAAAAATCATAAAAATGATATATTAAAAAGAGTAATTAAAAAATTGCCATATTTCAATTTTTGGAGAAGTTTTAATCAAAATATCAAAAATGTGGGAAAGTCGATCTCAAGTAGACTTGACGACAAATTCAAATCTGTTTTCAGAATTCTTATTGCTTCACTAGATTAATCGGTACGTTGGAAATAGAACACGTCTATAATCCTATGTTGCACGTGTGTTAGACAAAGACAGAAAATCGCCGCTTCCAATCCCCTTAAGTAATTTAATAATTGCTATCTGGTCAAACTTTTTTGTTATTATGATTATGTCATCATAGCCAAACGTGATAAAACATTTTTTTCAGCAGTTGATGAAGTTTTGGCGTCAATATGAGGTAAAATATTAATTGTATTCGTCTGATGTAATATTTGAGTAGTATAGAAGTAGTAATATACTAATATGTACTATATGTCTATATAACGACACGTTAGGTGTTGCTTTTTTATATATTCGTTTGGTACAAGTAGGTGACTTAACGTCAATACTAGTGAAATATTAATATGATAACAGCTGAATATACCACAATACTGTTTATGCAGAAAATCATATTGGGGTAAAATGGCTTATTGGGTTTTGGGGTAAAAGTGCGCAGTATTTCTTACATGATTATTGATTACCTACTTTTATTAACTTTTTAAAATTATTTTTCTAGCTTCAAAATGAATGTCTAAAAATGTAATTATATCTATTTATTTATTTAAACTAATGGGTACATTATATCATATATCTATGATGTATTAACAAATAATATTTTGTAATATTTATTGAATTATACTTAAAAAAATTACTTTGACTTAGTGTTGACTACTAATACTGTATTAATTATATATTATATTAGGGTCTATTATATTATGCATGCATATTATATATATTTATAACTTATTATTTGATACAAATAAAATATATAATAATTAATTGTATTCATTTTGTTTAGGAACCGAGTTAGAACTACTACCAGAACTTCGGTCAATGATGATCAACTTAATACAGCAAAGATTTTAATCGAAAGAGGTTAGGTAGACCCACTATTAGATCTACAGCTGCACAGTTAAATATACCCGAGTCCAGTTTGAGAAGAAGACTGAAAGCAGGATCTACAACAAGATTAGGTCGATACCGCCGGACATTTTCTTTAGAGCAAGAAGTTGAGTTAGCTGACCATTGCCGTTCACTTGATAACCGATTTTTCGGTCTATCATTCAAAAAATTACAGCAGCTTGGTTATCAGTTTGCAGATCTCAATAAATTAAACCACAGATTTAATATCCAAAAGAAGTTAGCTGGGTATGACTATGACTGGGCGGATTCGTTTCTAAAACTACATAATTTATCTATACGTAAATACTGCTTGTCCTGTTAGCTGTATCACGTGTCAAATATAAAATAATTACGAAAATATTGAATTTTTCAATGAAATTTTATGAACAAACATACGATAAAATTGATAGATTAAAACTATTTAAATAAGAAGTAACGATTATGATGGTTTTTTTTTTTTGTATCTAAAATAATAATCACTGACGAAAATAATATTGAACAAAATTAATTCCGAGTTTAGTCACACACGGTCTTTTTGACAGGTTTGTGACTTTAAAAATACCTATAAATTCAACAATCAATAGATAATTATTTTAAATAGCATTAAATTATAGCTCGACTTAGAAATTGAAGGTATTATAGTACACGAAATAATGTAAATTACTTACAATTATGAGTATTTTAAAAAATTATAAATGTCCGGTCTTCTAGACGGCGATGCGACTAACGGGGGTTAATAATAAATAAATTATTTGGTGATGTTTACTAATGTGTATAATAATAATAATTATATTATATTATATTTTAAATAATAATTAAAATATTTGACTTATCTATAAAAAAAAATATTCTAATTAACAATTACCTCTCCATTATTTTGTAATGTAAGAATCTTGTGATTTGTGAACAATCGCCGGTCAAGGATAAAAATAAGAATATATTCTAAGAGAATATTAATATGAAAATATTAAAGTCGTTGTACCTACGTAGAATCAACAATAATTTATTGTCTACGGCATACGGGTAATAACTAACAAACATTACCGATTATCGTCTTGTTACGTAAAATTAACTATTACTTGCTATAATATAAAAATAAACGTCAAATGTCTAAATTAAACAATAACTGATAAGACCGATTATTGACTCCATATTTCTATCTATTCTCCATATATTATAATCCTCATTTGTACCAATTGTTCCTATATACTATATTATAATTTATACTATAGTATTATATAAGACGCACAAATGTAAAAATATATTATCTATAATGCCTAAATAATTATTAAAATATATAAAATACCTATACAAATTTTTAGTCAGTATTAGGTCAGCCGTCAGTCAATGGCCTGACTGACAAGTAGTTTCGCCTATAGTATTAATGACGAAACATAATAATGTAGGTACTATAGATAAAATGTATAAAACCTTAATTTATTTTAGATTCTGAGCGGAACGGTGAATGTATTTATAAATTGTATGTTTTTTTTTTTTTAATTGTTTTGTGTCTGAGCACAATAAGTAGTCCAAATAATGCTTCCTTTTCAACTTCAGTAGGTATCTTGTTCGATGGGAAAGTGAAAATTGTTCGTTTCCCCCACCCAGTAATTTAAAAAAGTTCCGAGAAAATTTAAGGAAAACCTGGAATTTTTACGCAAAATTGGTTTTGGTTTTTAGTGTAACTCTATAACAAATGACCGTAGATATGAAATGTCCACTGGTTGTTTATATTAGAATTTTCTATACACACATTTTCAAAACATTTTGATTTGTTTTCAACTGTTTACGGACATTTTCAGTTTCCTATTTTTTTAGTTTTTATTTCGATGAATGTCACTAACATTTTATTTGTTGGTTAAAAAATCTTGAGGATTTAATACCAAGCTCCTAATCATAGGCGAAACTAGACATTTTTATTAGGTCAGGCCAAATGAAAAAATACTTCTATTAACAACTTTATAATGTAGTAATTTTGTTTAATGTATACATAATATATATATATATATATATATTAATTATATTATAATGAATATTTTTTTACAATTTAAATATTTAATAATAAATAAAAAAATATAATAATTAATTAATACATTTATAATAATAGACGACGATTAAATGGTACCAATTTTTTAAATTCTTCAATGACATTCTCAACATCAACATTATTAGCCAAAGACTGTTCCATGTATGGTAGCATAAGGTCATCTAAACGGTCTTGTTTCATGGTGGATCGAAGTTTACTTTTTACATGAGTGAGTTTAGAAAATGCTCTTTCACAAGAAGCACTGGTTACTGGAATCACACAAAAATCTCTAATAATTTTTATAAAATTATTATATATACCTTCAATTTCATTTTTTCGGAACCAATCTAGCCACGTCATACAATCTTGTTTAACAAGTTGTGTTACACAATCTAAGTCACGAGACAAAAGTAGACGGATCTCAGAAATTAATTCCTCTTCAGAAATATTAAAATATGACGATAACAATTTAATATCATCTTTATTTGAGTCAAGTTTTAACATTTTCCCGACTGCTGTAATTAAAGATATTGTATCTTGATTAAAACGTTGATCAATACCATATATAAGAGAATCTAACATGGGAATCAATACAGTAACACGAATTTCTTCTTTTTTTGTATTGAAAATATGTTCATTATCTATGTTGTCATCAAAACGTTTTGATTTTTTCCTTAACTTAATCGCTGGTTCATCAATATCATATTCTTTGCAAATTTTTAAAACTGTTGTATATGCTTCATCATAGAAATCATTATTACAACGTAATTGTTGTAAAGCTGAACGAAGATTCTTAACTTCATTTATTGCAACCAATAAATTAATTGAAGGATTTTGAAGTGTTTGACTTACTTTTAGAATCATTTGTAGTATGGGATGCATTAATTCTAAGGAAATAATAAAATTAAAACTCTGACAATGCATAATAATTCCTTTTCCTTTAACTTTGACTTCAGGCAATTTCGTTATTTTATTTACTTCAATTATTGTTTTTATTATAGCTGAAAAGTTTTCACGAATTGCAGATACTGCCTCTGCTCTACATGCCCATCTGGTTGTAGATAAAGATTTTAATGATTTTAATTTTAAATTCATAGTATTTTTAATTTGTTCAAATATTGCATGACGTGTTGGACTTCCCTCAATAAAATTGTAAACCATTTGAATAACGCCAAAGAAGTCGAAAATGATCGAATTTTCCATTCGTGAAATACAAGAGTCAACCAATACAAGATTCAAACAATGCGTAAAACAATGCACATAAAGTATTTTCGAATTCTGTTCTTTGCACTTTGATTGTACACCAGATATTTTACCAGCCATTGATGCTGCTCCATCAAAACAAACAGATACTACTGATTCCTATTTTAAATTTAATTCCAAAAGTATTAATTTTATAACATTAAAAATAGATTCTGCAGTAGTTGACTCCAACTGTTTTAGACATATAAATGTTTCAATTGGTTTATTTTGTTCATCGTCAAAGTACCTTAGGACAATAGCCATTTGTTCTATATGACCACAGTCACTAGTTTCGTCCGCCATAATTGAAACTTTTTTTCCATTTAAATTCTTAAGAATAAGTTGAAATATAACGTTATGTAGAGACTTAATTAAATAATTTTGTATTTTACTACTTAAATATTGGGCATTTTTTGGGCCTTTTTCTAAGTGAGCTTGAATTATAGGATCATATTTCTTTAGTAGATTGACAGTTTCTAAGAAGAGTCCTTTATTCATACTTTTAGAACTTTCATCGTGGCCTCTAAATGATCGTCCAGTTTTCGATAACAATATAACTATATCGATTAGACGTTTTAAAACTTCTCTGTTATGAAGACGGTCCTTCTCTCTATTTTTTAAATCTAATTCGTTTTGAATTTTTAATTGAACATCAATAGAGACACCTGACTTAAATACTGACCAAGATTCTACACAATTTGTATGACATACTGATTTCACATGGGATTTAAAAGCATTACATGCATCTTTCCAATTTGAATATCCTTTACTTATAAATGCTTGATCAATATGACCCTTAATTGCCACATTATTTAAAGAAAATGCTCGACAATAAAAACAGTATACTGCATTTTTACTTTTACTGTATTCCAACCAGTCATAATTATCATACCATGCATTTTGAAAGCTACGAAGTCTATTCCCAAAAAGAGTTTTTGGATATGAAAGAAGACGGATTTGGCAAGGCCCTTCAGATAGTTTTACATTACGCTCTATACGCTCTTTTGGAAGTGGTAAAGCAGGATCATTGGGTAAAACAGTTTTAGTAATATCAGTGTCATTTAGATCAATAGTTAAAGGTACTTCGGAAGAAATAGAATTTGATGTAGCTAAATTAGTTTTGTCAGTTTCAATACATGGAATTTGTGGAGGTGATCCATTTTTGTTCAATTTTCGGATAACAAATCTATTTTGTAAGAATAATAATTAATAATATTAGTTTTTATTTTAAAATTATATTATTATTTTTTATTCATTACGGTATATTAAACAATATATTTAAACAAAAATTAATTTTATATTATAACAATTTTGACAATTTATTCATACTACTTATCCTGTATGGGTGTATCGTGTCAAATATAAAATAATTTTGGAAATATTGAATTTTTCAATGAAACTATATGAACAAATAGACTATAACTATCGATAAGAAGAAACGATTATGTTATTTTTTTTTTGTTTTTTCTAAAAATTATCACTGACAAAAATAATATTGAACAAAATTAATTCCGAGTTTAGTCACTAACGTTATTTTTGACAGGTTTGTGACTAAAAATACATATAAATTCAACAAACAATAGATACCTAATTGTTTTAAATAGCATTAAATGATAGCGTAACTTGATAGCGGACATAGAAGATATTAAAGAACACGAAATAATGTAAATTAGTAATTACTTACAATGAGTAATTGGAAAATTATAAATGCCTGGTCTTTTAGACAGCGATGCGACTAACGGGGGCTAATACCTAATAAATAAATTATTTTGTGATGTATACTAATGGCTAATGCGTATAATAATAATATGGTATTATATTTTAAATAATAATTAAAATATTTGACTTATCTTCTATCTATAAAAAAAAATATTCTAATTAATAATTACCTCTCCATGATTTTGTAATATAAGAATCTGGTTATTTTTGAACAATCGCCGGTTAACGATAAAAACAAGAATTTATACTAAGTCTAAAAAAAATAATATGAAAATAGTATGTGGAATCGACAATAATAATTGTCTACGGGTAACATTAGTATTACCGATTGGCGATTTGTTACGTAACATTAACTATTACTAGCTATAATATAAAAATAAACGTCAAATGTCTAAATTAAACAATAACTGATAAAATCGATTATTCGAGTACATAGAATAGAGACCATATTATAGAGTCTATATTATATTATTCAATAGACTGCGACGCCATATTTCCATAATCAATGTTAAAAATAAATGTTATTATTATATTCATTGTGTAGTGTGTACAATTTAATTTAAGAAATCATATCAAGTCCACATATTCGTACACTTATAAGTTATAATAATAGGTACAAGTGGTATTATATAAAACGTACAAATGTATACGTTTACATGTAATAATATAATAATATTATTATTTATAATGCCTAAATAATTATTAAAGTATATAATATATACAAACTTTTAGTCAGTATTAGGTCAGGCCATGGCCTGACTGGCCTAACCCGTAGTTTCGCCTATGCTCCTAATATTATATTGTTACACTGTTATTTGAGAAATATTAAAAATCCAGTCATAAATTTGTTTTATAAGCATTTAAAGTTCAAATATTGATAAAATACGTAAAAATTACGAAAATGTGCAAATTATTTTGAGCTAGAAATTCATACATTTTTTTTTTAAATCTAAGATTTATAAATGTTATACAAGATTCCTCATAAGTTTGTATACCTTTAAAAAAAAAAGGTGCTCTACTGTACAGTAGGTTACTAGTGGGTCACTGTATAATGAATGTTATTAAATTTGAATTCAATGATATAATATCATTGTATACGCTTTGGAAAAATTGTTCAAGTCAAAGCTCCTCTCGCCTGTACTTAAGTTTCCCACTGCCAGTTCTAACATTTGCATGTGAAACATATGGTCGACTACTAAAGGAGATGAGGAAAAATTGGCTTGCTTCGAAAGAAGAGTTCTTAGAAGGATTTATGGACCTATTCAGTGCCGTAGAAACCGCGGTGAGGGCGGTTCATTGCACCGGGGCCCCACGTTTAAATTTCTAATATGGGGCCCATACTTAAATAAAATAATATAAGAATTAAGTACCTATACTTATAGGTAGTAACAATTTTTTTTTAATGAGATCATAATATAATATTAGTAATATAGGTAATGATAACGCCGTTAGTACTTTGTTATTGTTGTCGGTTAACACTTGATTTCTTCTTATCATTGCAACTAAAAATAGAATTATTGGGAAAATTTTGTGCATTATTATCGGCTCGATACTGACCGAGATATATTGGACATGGTTAGATTTATCAGGAATTCTAGAAAATAATGTTTTTTTATGGCATTAGGATTATAGGTACATTGATACCATAAATAATATTAATAATAATTGTTCATTCGCATCGTTGTTATTTGTTTGCATGTTTGTCAATTTTCACATTTTACTTAAAATACTTACTTTAATCATTTAATTATTTCATCCGTTAATAAAAAAACACCTTAGTGGTAGTGAAAAACGAAAAAAACGAAGAGAAAATCAAGAAAAAATATCAAAATTGCCAAGATTGCCATTGATCAAGTTTGCAAGAAATAATTTGTGACGAAATCAGGCAATGTTCTTGTTTTGCAATTATCATGGACTCCACTCAAGATATGATAATAGATGGTGGAAATAAACTGTCAGCCATCACATACGTTTCTAAGAAGTAGTCACAAAATGCATGTATACGATCATCGTTGGGTTGAATTGTCATGATTTCGTTCGTAAAACAGTCGTCTACATCATTTGGATTTAAAAATGACAGTCCAAAAAATAATTTTAAAAATAATCCGATTTCTGTTTTTTTTTTTTAATTTGTACATAAACCTACTGATTGAATTTTTCTCCATATGCTCTGTCCTAAGTGAAAACGACATCCTTTTCTTATTGTATTTGGAAATACAACTAGAAGTGCCGAATGAATAGCTAGTTCAAAGTCAGCGTAAATTATTTTTGGCGATAAATTTAAGTTTAATTCGTTCATCTTCAGTAATAAATTAGTCAAAGCATCTTCATAAATTAGTTTTGTTTTTCCCGTTAATAAAAAAAAAATTAGTGGCGTATAGTTGTGATTTTTAACTCCGTGAATTGTGAATAATTGATAAATCATCTTAGGGCAACTTTTAAATGTATAGTCAACAAATAAAATTTCGCACTCACTTAAATATTTTAAATTTGCGTGTGATGTAAAAGCTACAATATTTTTTTCATGATTATTAATAAATAAAAAATCTTTGTCTCTATTAGTTTTGATGTTTAAATTATCTAAAGCTGTGTGTAAATCAATCAAAGTTTCTGGCAGTTTAGGATAAATGCTTGATCCGGCATAATGTAAATTTTTTCGAACTCGTGTAGTGTCATTTGTCGTCCATAATATCTCCCTTTAATAGCTCACGATGCAGTATTTTACTTGGTTTTTCAAAACGATCATCTACAGCCTCACGTTTTAAATTATTACATATCCGTTGTCTATTTAATTTTTGTTCGTCATCTTTATTGTGATTATGATCTATCTTGCGGAATATAACTTTATGTTCACTGTTTATATACGATAATTTTATGTAAGACGTACCTACACGAACGCTTACAACAAGCCCACCTTTCAATATCATTGCACAATAACTTTTGAAAATAGAATTTAAAATCATCAATTACAAAAAGTTTTTTATTTTTTTCACTCAACATATGTTCAACTTGTGGTTCCATGATCACACTACAGTTAACACATTTCGTTAACGTTCCAAGACGTACTAATATTATAAGACACAGAAAAACACACAGGTGATATCTCCTTTTGATCTAAATTATATATATAAATTATTTTTATTACTATTATTTATGATCGTAAATAGTATGATAGCTAGTGAAAACCCACGTGAAAAAACATGCGATTAAATTCAATTTGAAACTCGAGGCAACATACAACCGGCCCAACGTACCAAACTCGTCGGAAAACCGGGCATTCAAGACTTCGGCGGTAGAACTTTATCCGGATAGTGACATTAGAACGATTGTAGAGAGGGTGTATATTATGAAGTTGATGAAGGAGAAAGATGACTATAGTGGGAGGGGGAGTGGGTTTTCTCTAGAGTCGATAGACGGCTTGTTGTTGGCGGTATATAAATATACACCGATAGGTGGCTCGTCATATATTGAGTTGCCAACGTATATCGACAGGAAACGGGGTACAATAAATCCACAAAACACAGACCAGGAATGTTTTAAGTGGGCAATTTTGGCGAAACATGCTGCAAATATTGTATCCGATAAATATAAATATTGTGTATCAGAAAATTATAGAAAGCACGCTGATAAATATAATTTTAATGGACTCACCTTCACCACACCACTGTCCGATATTAATAAATTCGAAAAAAATAACAACAATGTCTCCATTAACGTATACGGACTAGAAAAAAAGTTTCAAATACCGAAATTGCCCAGGTATGAAGTGTACCCGCTGCGAGTAGTCGATGAGGAGAAACCGAACTTTGATCTGTTGTTGGTGACGGACGACGACGAAAACTCGCACTATGTGTATATTTCAAATTTCTCCCGGCTCGTTAGACGTCAAAAAACAAAACATGCAGAGAGAGTAGTGTTTTGCAAGAGGTTTTTCACGTCATTCGATGACAGGCGTCATAAATACAAGTTGAGCGGACAGGAGGCGCTGAATCAACACAAGCTGATTTGCGGAGAGCACACACCAATTTTACCAGAGATGCCAAAAGAGGGTGACTGTACTGAATTCAAGGCGTGGAATAAGACCCAGAGACACCCCATAGTAATTTATGCAGATTTTGAGACGATATTGACGAAGACTGATGAGAAGAAAGGAGCCAAGACGAGGATATTACATAGACATGAGGCGATGAGCTATAGTCTCATTGTGAAAGCGAGCGATAACGTACCGCAGGAGTTATTGGAGGAACATGACATACCAACAGAGTCAATATTATACCGAGGAAACAAGAATAAGACAGACGTGGCGAGACATTTTGTTGAAACCGTTACTGAGATGGCGATAAAAATTGAAAAATTATTGAAGACCAATAAACCTATAGTTTCCACGGATAAACAACGGCAGTCACATGATTCATGCAATTTATGTAATTTATGTAAGACTAACTTTACATTCGACAACCATAAGGTGGCAGATCACTGTCATCTCTCTGGAAAATACCGGAAAGCTATATGTAACACGTGCAATCTCAAGCTTCAAACACCAAACTTTATACCTATATTTTTTCATAACCTGTCCAACTATGACGCGCATCTAATAGTTACAGAACTTGGCCATGACACTCAAACTATAAGAGTAATACCTAACAGCGAGGAGAAATTTATATCATTTACGAAATACGTCACAAACACCTTTTCAATGCGATTTATAGACACGTTCAGGTTTATGGCATCAAAACTGTTGACTTTAGATCTTGTGACACCAGGGCTTGAAAATTTCCGAGAAACCGCGAAACATTTTGTCGCCGGAGATATGCCGTTAGTGACTCGAAAGGGGGTGTACCCATACGAGTACATAGATAGCTGGGATCGATTGGATGAAGAACGATTGCCGAGTAAGAGGAGTTTTTATAGTTCATTAAAAGAAGAACATATAGACGAGGAAGACTTTGAGCATGCGAAGTTGGTTTGGAACCACTTTGGCTGTACGACGTTGGGCGAATATAGCGATTTGTATCTAAAAATTGACGTGCTGCTGTTGGCTGATGTGTTCGAAAACTTCCGCGACTTATGTATGAGGACATGCAACTTGGACGCAGTCCACTATTTCACCGCCCCAGGCTTAAGTTTCGATGCGATGCTGAAGTTGACGGGAGAAACTTTCACTTTTGACGGATTATGACATGTTATTGATGTTTGAGAATGGTCAGTATATTATTTTTAAAATGTGTATATATATAATATTAATCTTATTTATTTTGTATAGGTTTACGTGGTGGATTGGTTCAAGCGAGCAAACGATATGCGAAGGCGAATAATGGAAAGACTCCGGACTATGATGAGACTAAAGAGAAATCGTGGATAGTATATCAGGACTGTAAGTATATTTTTCTAAACTTAATAATATTTTCATACTTATTAATTTTTTTTAAATTTTATAGGTAACAACTTGTATGGATGGGCAATGTCGCAGTACATGCCGTACGGTGGGTTCAACTGGGTTGAACCCACATTAAACGGACTTGATGATTTGAACGATACATCACCCATAGGGCGAGTGTATGAGGTGGATGTAACATACCCACAAAAATTACACGATAAACACAACGATCTACCATTCTTGCCGAACAGCGGTATACCTCGCGGGTCGAAGGTGAGGAAGTTGATGGCAACGTTTGAGATGAAGAAGAACTATGTTATACATTATAGAAATCTGCAGCAAGCAATTAAGAATGGGTTGAAAGTGGAAAAAGTAAATATTTGTATTTTATAAGATTTTAAACAGATTGTAATATTTTTTTTATAGGTACATACTACATAGGGTTATTCAGTTTAACCAGTCTGACTGGTTAGCCAAATATATAGAATTAAACACAGAGTTGAGGAAAAAGGCGAAGAATGAATTTGAGAAGGACTTTTTTAAACTTATGAATAACGCTGTATTTGGTATGCAACTTTATTTATTATATAATATGTATATAAAAATGTTTACTGATATTTTGTGTTTGATTTTCTAGGGAAGACTATGCAATCGAAGAGGAAGGAAATGAAGATGGAGTTGGTGTCATGTGAGAGAAGGTTGCAAAAATTAATAAACAAATGTACATTTAAACACTGCACAAATTACAACGAGAACCTTAACGCCGTAACGCTTGAGAACAAATTAATCAAATTCGATAAACCTATATATATTGGTAAATATACTTGTTTTAAATTATATAATGTACACTTATAATTACATTTATTAATATATATTTATTATTTGCAGGATTTGCTGTATTAGATATTAGCAAAACGTTAATGTATGATTATCATTACAATGTCATGCAGAAACATTATGGAGATAGAATTAAGCTTATGTACACTGATACAGGTAAATATATACTAAAACTACATAATATATTTATTTAATATCATTCTTTTTCCAGATTCAATAGTGTATCATGTTCAGACGGAAGATTTTTATGTGGACTTGGCGGCTAATTACAACTTGTTGGATAGGATGGATACTGCTAACCTGCCCAGTGACCATCCGTGTTATGTAGCAGAAAGAAAAAAGTCCCCGGGCTTCTTCTCCGACGAGGTGAACGCAAATATAATTACTGAATTCTGCGGGTTGAGGGCCAAGTCGTATGCCTTCAACATATATGCTGGACAAGAGGATAAGGAGAAAGATGAAAAGGACCGAGTAGGAGGAGAAAAGATTAAGGCGAAAGGTATCAGAGCTCATGTGGTTAAAAACCATATGACTCTTGAGGACCATAGGAAGTGCCTGTTTGGAGAAGTTGGACAGGAGTTGTATAGAGACAATGTATCGATACGGTCATTCAATCACCAGCTTATGACAATAAGAACTAATAAGCTAACGTACAACAGCTATGATGATAAGAGGGTGGTGTTAGAGGACAAAATAAACACACTAGCCCATGGTCATTATAGTATAGAGTAAGTTATTACAATTATATATATATTTTTAAATTATTATACTGATTTTACTTTTTTAATTTTATAGGGAAGATGAACCCGAAGATGATTAGCCTGGAATAGAGACCATAACTGGAATGAAGAAGAAACCTTCTACATTGCCTAACCTGATTTTATATATTTTTATTGTTATATATTGATTATTACAAATAACTTATAAACAACTGTTTAGTTTTGTATATATATATTGTAAATATTATATTATACTTGTACCTATATTATGTTAGCATATAAATAAAATAAAAAAAACAATTGTTAAAATATATAATATTATTATTATTATGTTTATTAAATAAAATGTACATATTATAATAACAATTTTTAAGAATTATTTATAAACCATTTCCTTATAGCAAATACTTTATAGAATGTACATTGTTTTGGATTGAATTCCATATGAAAAATACAGCAAGGTAAGGTTTCTTCATCACATATTTGATCCAAACGTGGGCATCCAAGGTCTTCGATGTTGATTAGTGCGATTTATCCACTATCCCAACTGACGATCGTGGAACACACGTGGTAAAACGGATAATCAAACTCAACAAAAAAATGTACAAAAAATCCAAAAAACACAAAAAAATAAATGACAATCAGCCACGCTGTGATACTGCAGGTACTAGAACGGTAGAGAACAATTTCAAGATAGCTCAGATTAACGTGGAAGGCTTGACTCGAGCCAAGGCTGACATTTTGGGGAAAAGATTTGTCGACATGGACGTATTGGTGTTACAAGAAACCCACATACCTGATGGTGAAACAAACCGCCTAAAAATAAATGGTTTCAATCTGGTGCATCACATTGGCCATAATAAACACGGTTTAGCAACATACGTAAGCCAAAACAAATCGTTCCTAGACATTGAACAAGTTCCCGGTAACGAACATACGGTTGGTATCCGTATTGGTAACCTAACCATCTTCAACGTCTACAAACCCCCTCCCAGCAAGTGGGCTGCTGCCGTTTTGCCAGTCAGTGAACATCCTGTAATATACATCGGAGATTTTAACTCCCAAAATTACTGAGTGGGGATACTCCACCAACAATGAAGAAGGTGAAAAACTTTCGGACTGGGCAGCGATTAACCACCTTAAACTGATCTACGATGCCAAACAAGGAGGCACTTTTAAATCTGGTAGATGGGGCACGATGACGTCGCCGGATCTCTGTTTCGTGTCCGAGGACTCTAATGGTCTACCTCTAACTGTAAACAGGGAAATCAAAAACTCTTTCCCAAGAAGCCAACACTTACCAACCACCGTGACCATCGGTCTTATAATCCCAACCATAGACAAACCTTTTATGCCTCGATGGAACCTGCGCAAAGCAGCATGGCCAGAATTTTCAAAATACGTTGATGATAACATCAACCGTATTGACCCCATACCGGACA